TTTCGTGCCGAGCCTGCATTCGAACTCGCATAAAAAGGTGGTCGAGATGAGGAACAAGGCGTCGACCGGCGCCAAGGACTGTGAACTTCTTGCATACATAAGGGGGAGTCAGATAGGGGTAGGATGCAGCTAGCTAGTGTTTTCGAGTATTATTCGAGTTCTTGAATTTTTAAATTGTTTTTCTATTGATTTTTATATAGAGGGGTTTTTCCTTGTTTTGTACAGAGCTAGTTTAGGGTGGAGGATTAGCTTAAGGATTGATGTATTTAGATTAGTGTCGGATAATCAGGTTAGTTTAGTTTGTTACTGCCATCTTGATGTATTATTCTTTTTGTAGTAATTATTGATTACCAGGTAGGAAGACTATTGATAATTTGATTCTTTGCAAACAATTTGTCTTTTTCCTTTTTTGCTTGGGAGATAAATGTTTGGGTAGACGAATGAATTATATATGATCTGATAAAGGACTTCATTATAAACACTTATAATGAAAAGAAATTTAAGAGCAAGTGTTGCGTGAAAAGGAGTAAAAGAAAAGGAAAAAAAAACCTCTCGAAGCAATCACTTGGACAGCTTGTAAACAAAATGGATAGGGAAATGCCTAAACTTTAAATTATATATATTATTAACCTAACGTATTAATTTGGTAATCAATAGCTATAAACTCTACAACTAATACCTGTTAGGTGATGACACTTGACATTTGATCCATCTGTGATCATGGTGGTTAATTAATTAAAGCCAACAGCTTTGGTGCTCCAATTGAGTACCGAAGCGGTTGGTGTAGTTTGTTTCCTTGAAAATCTCTCTCACATCCTAAATTTGAGGGATAAGGTAGTTGAGAGGAGTTCCACACCCAAAAGAGTAATTTCACTTAGATAAAAATGTTATTTTAGGAAGTATAAATAAGAAGAGAAATATAATTTGTGATTAGTTACAACTATACAACTAATAAACACGTCTCTATTTTTTCCGTCCTTTTCTAGCATTCTTCCTTCTTCGTTTCTTATTGCTTTTGAACTATAAACTCTTCCAAAACTTATTCATGTATTGCATTATTTTCTGTCTTTTATTTCTCTTATTCGTGATTAATTTTGCAAAAAAAAAAATCTAATTTTCCTCATACACCATGTTAAATATAAGTGATTAATTCTCTTTTATTTCTTCTATATCTTTTTTTATTTTCTATCTTTTTATCTTTTTATTTCTTTTATTAAACAACTTGGTTAATGTTATAGAAAGAAAAAAATCTCTTCACACACACATATATATATTCATTCCCTTGAAAGCAAACGCGAAAAAGAATTTCAATTTTTAGGTATATGCTAAATTTTTAGGAAAGTAGGTGAATTTCAATTTTTTAGGTATATGCTAAATTTTTAGGTTCCAGAAGAATTTTATGTCAGCGTCAAAGAAATACTAAACTTGCGAGAAGTAACAAAAAACAAAAGAAACGATATTGGAGGATAATTAGGAAACAAAGAAACGGTATTGGACGAGGATAATTAGGAAAGTATGTAAGTAGGTCGGACAAAAATAACCTTCCATATTTTTAGACAGTTTTAATTATTTTATCAAATTAAAAATGGTAAAAAACGTTAATTTGGGAGCACCGAAGCAATGCTCTTAATTAAATCATGTTGGTGGTTAACATTTCTGGTAATTAACCCCCTGAACTATAGGAGGTATTGCACGTAACCCCACCCCCACCCCACCCCTCACCCAAAAAAAATTGTTTATCTCACATAACCTCCCTGAACTTTGGGGTGTCTCACAAAACCCCCCAGAACTTTGAACTTTTTTTCACTATATTACCTACATGTAATTTGCAAGTTACTTAAATTTCATTGAGAATTTCATTGAGAGGAAAAAAAATATCCAAATTTTAAGAGAAGAGGGGGGTATATTGCCTGCAAATGACAAAGTTTAAGATTGTTTCTTTCAGGAAATTTTTTGTTATTTTCAAGTTAATTGCATGGAGGTCCAATGAAAAAAGTTCAAAGTTCAATGAGGTTTTGCAAGACATCTCAAAGTTCAGGGGGTGTTATGTGAGACAAACAAAGTTTAGGGAGGTTATATGGGACACCTCCCAAAGTTCAGAGGGAAAGAAATTAAGATTACACCAGCATACATCTGAAAAATTTTGAATCTTCTTAAACCCCTTGCACAACGCCTAGATGTCTTTACTTACTCTACTAGTGTTATTGTCGGTTTTGAGAGCTACAACAAGATGATTGTGAAGCACGTGGGCACATGGGGCCCACACCCACCCATGTGAACATCAAAGCCCACCTGAATAGTCATGTATAAAACCTGATGTCTAGGGTTTCGTGAAAAAATAGGCAGAGGATGGTGCAGCTTTGACTTGAGTGCAAGGGGATTTGGTTTTTGTGGCTACGGAGAAAAAGCAAGTGCAGGGAGTTTTTTTGTTGGTGGCTGCAGGGTGCGAATGCAGAGGCAAGAGTGGAGATTTGAGAAGGCTTTTGTTAGGGTTTTGAGCATCCATTGGTGGAGATATTTGTGAGAGATTTGAGAGTTTGTGTGAGGGTTTAATTGTGTGATTGTAAACCCTAGTTGTATTCTCTCCCTCTAATAGTAGATCTCCCCCCTCCTTGCCCCGTGAACATAGGCAATTTGTCGAACCACGTAAAATTAGTTTATCTCGCTTTTGTGTGATTTGTAATAGCTTATTTGGGTTCCCTCGACAGGTCAATCCTAGGACTGATGAGAGGAAGAACTGATTTCTCACTTGGTTGAGATATTTTACTTAAGGTTCTTGTTTTATTTGTGAAACAGGAATTCCTATTGTGACCTGACTCTCTTGTTGTGTTGTCGTGACCTGACTCTCTTGTTGTGTTGTCGAAGTGTTGTCGAAATTTTCGCTGCGCGCAACAATGATGACTTGTCTATGTGGGAAGGTACATCCTAGTATCTTCAACTCAAGACATCTTACGCTTGAATACGTGTTGCTCAACCTCTTCCTCAAATTCGATCTGCATCCCAACGCTGCTTATACTACCCTTAGCATCCGTGAGGTTGTTCTTATGTATTGGATATCAAAGGGGAAGACATTTAATCCTACTATTCTGATTTTACTTAGATGTGCATGGTTGCCACTACTGCTCGGGCTTGTATACCCTTTTCTCATCGCCCGTACATGCCAAGATCAGAAGAGCCCCTTCCTCTTTGCTGACCTGATATAAAAAGGGGAGAGCTTCGCTCTCAGCGGGGACTGTGAGGAAGAGCATAGCAGCAAGAGGGAAGGGAGAGACCACTGCTGGGCAATCATTCGGATCTTAGCCATCTGCACCTCAGGCACCGGGTTCTTCCAGTTTGACTCAGTGGACCTTGCAGGCACTTGGGGAGAGAGAGAGTAGAGAGTCTGAGTGGATAGGTTGGTACACTATAGGAGAGATATGACTATTATTACTTAGAATCGATTGCTAGAGTTTCCTTGAACTTGTATCCCTTCTTATAATCAAGTAGGATTGTTGATCACTTGATCTCATGCATGTAATCTTCGTTGTGAATTTCATACATGCAACTTCCCAATTTAAAAAAAGCCCGAAAATTTACATGACACGATTAGGGGTGTTAAACGGGTGGGTTTGGGCATTAAACGGGCGGGTCATAAATGGGCGGGCATGTTTTGCCCATTTACCCATTTATGACCCATTTAACATTTTCTAAATGGGCGGGTTTTTACCCGCCCATTTAATAAACGGGTCGCCCATTTGCCCATTTAACTATAGTAGCTATATATGTATAATACTTTTAGGGTATTTTTTGTAAACTTTTAGGGTTTTTTTGTAAACTATTGGGGTTTTTTTGCAAAATTTAGGGGGTTTTTGTAAACTTTTTGAATTATCAAAATACGCACAGGCATGTACGTTACCCATTTAGAAATAGCATGAACATATTGAACAAAATAGCATTAAATTTACCAATCAAAATACGCACAGGCGTCGGAGGCTCTGGGTTCGAGAGGCGGCGGAGGAGGCAGCGGAGGAGGCAGCGGAGGAGTAGGGATTGGGGTTGGGATTGAGGTGGAGAAAGAGCTCAGCTGCCCTAGAGAGAGAAAAGAAGAGATTTAGCGATTTTAGGGTTTTTGTTTTGGGAATACGGGCGGGCGGGCAAACGGGTAAATATACACCGTCCATTTAGTGCCCATTTAGTATCATTTGAAATGAACCCACCCGTTTAGACCCATTTAACTAAATGGGTGGGTTTTGGACGGGCCAAGTGATGGGCGGGCCAGGTGGGTAAATGGGTATGGGCAAAATCTGCCTTCCCTACTTTACACACCTGACATTGTGAGTTTTTACATCGCAAATAAGACCGTGAGGATTTTTCACTCCACTACACGTATTTGTCAATCCGCAAGATGATACGATGATACTTATTGATCGATCCGCAAGATGATGCGATGATACCTTTTTGTCGATCAGCACAATGATGCGATGATACTTATTTATCGATTCGCAGATGATGTGATGATACTTATTGGTCGATCTGCATTATGATGCGATGATACTTTTTTGTCGATCTGCACGATGATGCGATGATACCTATTCGTTGATCCGCATGGTGATGCGATGATACCATTTTTGCCGAATCACATAAGTATATGTTTTATTGAGAAACTATAGAGAATGATTGACCCTGAGTTTTTGGCAGATGCCCAATGTGATATTACTCGTTGTTTAGATAACTTGTTATATGAGTACACGAGATACATATGTTAATGTTTATTAGTGCATTCACATACTGCCTTAAGGCCACATCTGTGTTCGCGCGTGTGACATATCAAACCGGATTGGTAGGCTCTAAAATCTGCACATTATAATATTTGAGGAGAACAGAAAATATGGTAAACCAAGAAACACCAACTTATGGATACGAGTGTTGTTGAACTCAGAATCTGGAAGTTGCATATGTTACTTTCAATTTGACATGATGTACCAACCTAAACAACGCTCTTTAAAAATCCACACAGGAACATATCAGAAGTTTATAAAAGAAATTAAAGCAGGTACTGCAAGAATCACGAGAAGTAACAAGCAGAATGCATATAAGTTCAGAAAGTAACCAATCGGTTGATTCGCTAAACTATGATAAGGCTTATTTTTCAGAGGTAATATATGACATACTTGTTCAATCAGTAAGCACATGACTCCAGCCACTGAAGTCTGAGCTGTCTTGTATTATGTTTCTATCTCCTGAGAGAGGTAATAGACAAGAGAGGTTAAGGTTGAAGACATCCAAATACTCAGTCTCAGCATCATAGTACGAGAAAAAAAGGCTAGAATACTTCAAATAAAAAAAGAAAAGGAAAAAAAAAGATCTGGACTAATTCACTAAAATAATAGTAAGCAAGAAGAAAAAAACTGCATGTTATGGTAATATTAACCAGGTTCCTTGGAAACACTATGTATAAACAATATATGAAACATAAATGAGCTATGCCTTAAAAAGCAAGTGAAACGACATCGATATTTGATTCAATTTTGGTCAAGAGAATGCACGTATCCAAAACATCATCCTAGGATGATCCCATGCAGCTCCTTCACCAGTGACCTCATTAGCAATATTCGCCTATTGGTGTAAATCTTATGCACTAATAATTTAGTACTTCGACCAAAAAGACCTAACTGAAAAAAAAGGTTTTAACAAGTGAACACCAACCATTCTCCATCACTCCAAACAACATGTCAAAACATGCATTCAGGAACTCTTATTTCTCTTATTGCACATCCTTCACAGCCTTTATATTAACTCACACAACCTCTAGTCACATGATGACTTGTTTTCCCCTTTAGTTTTTTCAACATCCACTGAAATCATAGAATAAGACTTCTTTTAACATGAACATGTCCACAAGGTACCCTCCTAAGATTAAAAACGAATGGGTAACTAACACCATCATGGGGTTAGGAGGTGCATGTGCTGATAAAATAGGATGGATGACAAGTCTATACCCCGGGGGTGCATCTACCAATGATCCTCCTTTTCAAAATACAAACATTAGAATGCAACCCCAATTCACAAACAGTAATATTATATGTCATCCATACCTCTGTTGATTCAGATAGGCTCTTGGCTTAATTCGACACCTCAATCTAAGTGCTGAAATACAGCCACACCCGTTTGTGAAACTTGCATATATCATTTGGCTATCACAAGAATATGCTGCATGGGCGATTAATTCCCCTCGTGGAAACCACTGTGAAAAGAGTAGAATTATAATACAACGAAATTTGATGAAAATGACCAAAGTGCTATAGAAATAATAAACAGTTCATGTTACAGATTTAAAATGAAATTTGATGAAAATGACCAAAGTGCTATAAAAATAAATAAACAGTTCATGTTACAGATAAGATATTATAACACACCATACAATGTATAGATTTCCTTGGACCTGCAATATACGCAATTCTGGCAAGTGATTACAGAATACAGCAGTGTCATAAACTAATAATCCCATTAATATAACAGTCTCTGAGCATTCATGGGTTATGAATGTTTAATATAATGTGATTAATATTAACTTCGAAAGCGTGGTTAGATGACCAAACTACTCATTCCCTCCCCATTCAGTAAGCATTCAGCCTAAAAACCTAGAACATGTACCCTCTTCAGTAAGCATTCAACCTGTGTCTCAGTGAAGTTATTGAACTACAATGGCACAATGAGCTATCATTCAAATAATTTTGGTTAGCAGTGAATTATAAATTATAAATTACATTAAAAAATCTAAATTCCTGCCATTTCCCATTACAACAAAGCTACTAAACAATAGCAGCTAATTAGTAAAACTTTTTTAAAAAGGATCTACTAGAAATTAGAAGATAAAGCCCATATCAATTGAAAATTTTAAAACCGTAGAAACTAAATCAAAATAAGGAATAATTGTAATTTAAAATAAATCCTAGAATATAAAATTACCTTCTCTTGATCTGAGGATTGGGGATCAAAGATAAGAGGAGATCGAAGGGCAGGAGAAGAGATCTAGGTCGAGAAGTGGAGATCGAAGGAGAAGAGATCAGAGGCCAGAGGTGATCGAAGGCAGAGCTCGAGCTCAAGGGAGAGAGGAGATCGGAGGCCGGAGGTCGAGGTCGAGCTCGAGGGGAGAGGAGGAGGTCGGAAGCTAGAGGTCGAGCTCGAGCTCGAGCTAGAGATGAAGAGGAGAGAAAATCGTGATTTTTGAGATCGGGTAGTTTCTGAAGGGTGAAGAGTGAAGGCGAAGGGTTTGCTGGAGTCGGGTTTTGGTTTTGGGAGTATGGGTGGGCAAACGGGTGCATATAGACCGCCCATTTAGCACCCATTTAGTTTGGTTTGAGAGGAACCCGCCCGATTAGACCCATTTAACTAAATGGGTGGGTTTTGGGCGGGCCAAATGATGGGTGGGTCAGGTGGGCAAATGGGTTTGGGCAAAATCTGCCTTCCCTAGACACGATGCATTTCAATACAAGAAGCCAAAACGGACAATATCCGCATCGGGTTGTCCTAATTTCTAAACATTAAAAAATTTCTAAATGGCCAAAAAAAAACCCAACTTCATTAGAACTATAAAACATCATTCATAAGATGTATAATTAGTCAGAAAAAAAGCCCTAGTTTATCATCAAAAACGGAGGGGGGAAAACAAGAAAGAAAGAAAAAAAGAAATTTTGCTAAGGAACCAAAATTGGGAAATAGAAAGACAGCGCTGATGTTAGCGTAACACCCAGATTCTAATCGAAGAACAGGTGCAAGAAAATGGCGTAAAAAATATTGTAAGCTTCTCACATATTAGGTTAATCTTGTAAATAATTGTATGGCTACAGTTATGCTTTTGCAGTGAAAAGGGTTTCGTATTGTTGTATTATTAACAGTCAATTTCACTTTTAATTTCAAGAACAATGAACCTGACTAATTTTGTTTACTTGCTATATGCAGTTATCAACTACTTAAAAAAATATTTTAATGTAGTCTCCAAAATTTTCACATCTTAGATTACGAATTTTCATTTCTTGCGCGCGCCATTGTTGTCATAGGAGAATGCATGAACCATCTTGATAAGAGAAAATGTGCTTTTCAGAATTGACCAAATTCTTTGTCACGGAGAAACTTGAGGATCAAACCTTAAATCAATAAGAATAGTTTATGTATTTAGCTTATCATTCTTTGCATAGTAATCCTTTAGTATCCTAACTTCAAAACTTAAAGGCAACGTAAGATTTCTAGCATATCTAATGATTCATTTCTCAAATGTCATATATATTCCTTCCCATATCACCATAGGCAACCTGTAGTATCCAACAGGGGGGGAGGTACATTTATCTTTTCTTACATTTCTTATTCATTATCGCTTTAACCGAAATCTTCTTGGAAAATTATATTAAGTCAATATATGTTTTCTGCATTCTTTTGTCGATTAAAGTAATTTTCTTGATGCTTTAAATATATAAATCGTCATGTTTCTATATTTGAATAGGATTTTATGTTGCGCCCCGTGCGGAAGCGTGCTCGACAACCAAACGAGTCGGTAAGCGATGAGAGAAGAGAACCAAATCAAATCACGAGTGCAATTCAGCAAAATACAACACAAATCAAACCAAACACATGAATTTACGTGGTTCGGCAATTATCTACGTCCACGGGTAGAGGATGGGGGAGATTTCACTATATGGAGGAGAAATACAACAGGTTACAACTCATAAATCACTCAAATATAACCCTAACCAAATCTCTCAACTCCCTCACAATATCTCATTTTCAAAGTGGTCAAAAGTCCTCTTTTTCTTGCTTAAGAAACCCTAAAAACGTGTTTGTATTTATATCAAACTGTGGACGTGAGGCGTGTGGGCCAGCAGCAAGACGTGTGAATGGCTTCATGTGGGGACCACGCGCGTGGTTGGATTTCACCACGAGTTTAGCTGCAAAGGACGTGGCCACAGCTCTGGTTTTTTGTTGTTTCTTGGACTTCGGTTTCTGGCTCACCCGAACACAACAGAGGTTTATAAAACCCTTCCCTAGGGTTTCGTGCGGCTGTAGGAAGGACGAGAGCAGACAGAGGGGGATAAAAAAGAGTGGCTGATTAAAGTGCACAGGGGTTCGTGCAAAAGCGAGCAAGGGGTGCGGCGGCTTTGGAGCAGTGCGAAGGAGGCTGTGAATTTTTTCGGCTAGGTGCAGAAAAATTTTGTTGGCGGCTACAGGGAAAAACACTGCGGGAGAAAAAGAGTCGGTTGTCCCTTTGTAGAGAGAGATTAAGAGGGATTTGAGAGTTTGTTTTGAGAGGGTTTAGATTGAGTGATTGTAAACCCTAGTTGTATCTCTCCCTCTAATAGTAGATCTCCCCCCTCCTTGCCCCGTGGACGTAGGCAATTTGCCGAACCACGTAAAATTTGTGTTCTTGTCGTAATTTGTAATAGCTTGTAGGATCCCTCGACAGGTCAGTCCTAGAACTGATGAGAGGAAGAGCCGATATCCCACTTTGTTGAGATATCCGCTTCAGATTCTTGTTTACTTAGTGAGACAGGAATTCTTTCGATCTAATCTCTTGTTGTGCACCTTGCGCACCGGAGGTGCTACCGAAATTTTCGCTGCGCACAACAAGTGGTATCAGAGCTCCGGGTTGGACTTGGGAGCTTGTTTGAAGGATTCGCTGAAGGATTCATATTTGAAGGGTTAGATCGACAACATGGGTGAAACAAGCACATCGGGATTGTCTCTTACGAAGACGATACATAATTTGAGCATTAATAACATGAAGATTGATGTTTCGAAGTTCGACGGCAAGATTAATTTTGGATTGTGGAGGTGTCAGGTGATGGACGCCTTGGACGCTCAGAATTTGAAGGAGACTCTTGAGTTACAAGAGAAACCTGTCGATATGGAAGCTAAGGTTTGGAAGAAGATGAATAGTAGGGCGTGTGGAGTTATTCGGTCATACTTGACGCCGAATCTTATTTATGACGTGATGAACGAGACGTCAGCGAAGAAGATGTGGGAAACACTTAATGAAAAATATCTTACTAAGAGCATTGAGAATCGGCTTCACTTGAAGAAGAGGTTTTACCAGTTCAAGATGAAGAGGGAAGTTTCCATTAGGGAGCATGTTAATAACTTCACAAAGCTACTTTCAGACATGGCTAATGTGGATATCATGGTTGAGGATGAAGACAAGACGATGCTACTTTTGTGTTCGTTGCCCGATGATGATTATGGTATTTTTTGTCCTAACTATGATTAATGAAAGAACTACTGTTAGTTACAAGGAGGTGACCTCAGCGTTGGTGAATTATGAGTTGAGGAAGAGTGTTGATGAGTCCTCCGAGAAGGCATCGGGAGATGCATTAGTAGTTCAAGGCCGTGGTTCAAACCGAAGCAGAAGGTCGCGATCTAGAGGTGCACATCATGGGATTCATAGGAATCAGTGTGCCTTTTGTAAAGAGGATAGACATTGGAAAGCCGAATGCCCAAAGTTAGATCGAGCCGAGAAGAATAAGGGGAAAGTTGTACAAGCTTCAGAGGTGAATGTTGTCAAGACTAGTGGTAACAATTCAGATTCGGATTCTTCGGGCTATTCGTTATCTGCACTACCGTCAGTTTGTGTTGCCAACTTTATAGAGTGGATGTTAGATTCGAGTGCTTCATACCACGTTTGTCCTAGGAGGGATTGGTTCTCTAGCTTTCAGAAGTTGGAAAGAGAGGATGTTGTGCTCATGGGTAATGGACATGCATGCTCTATTGGTGGTATTGGTATCGTTCGTATTCGGATGTATGACGGAGTGATTCAGGAGTTGGATGAAGTGAGGTTCGTTCCGCAGTTGTCGAAGAACATCATTTCACTAGGAGCTTTGGTGGCATCTGGCTATAAATTGACCTTGGTGGATGCACGTTGAAGGTCACATTGGGGTCCATGATTGTGATGAAGGGTGTCAAAAGGAGTAAGTTGTATTATTTGCTCGGAAGCACGACGATTGATAGGGAGATGATGACTTCATCAGATTCGGCTAGACTGTGGCGTTGTTTGATGCTGGGTTATTTGATTGGTAATGCCGTGCATAGGTTATTAAGGAGTGCTTTGACCTGCAGTTTGAAGTCCTATAAACCCATTGGTATGAGTAAAAAGACTGAGGTAGAGTTTGATACTTCTATCCATCATTCGAGGGGTCTTCTGAGGGGTGTTTATTCAGGCATTCGGGGGCCTTCCAAGGGAGCATTATTGAGAGGTAATAGGTATGTGGTTTCCGTAGTTGGGGATTGTTCTAGGCATTGGTGGATTGCAACCAAGTCTCGTTGGTGTGAAGTCCTAGAAGCCCGCAAAAAATGGAGGAAGTGTATTGGCAGAAATGTGAAGGTACTTCAGTCTAATGTTAGGGGAATGTACATGAGGGACCTATTTCTGCATTTGTGCCGAGCTCACGGCAATTGGAGATACTTCATTGGTGTGGAAACTTTGAGGCGACGTGATGAGATGGCAGATTTGGGGAGCTGTTCCTTTCTGGAGGAGGATCGGCATTTGATGTCGAGCATTGGCATTGGTGTGCGGGCTACGACATGTTTAGGCCATCTTATGTATAGGTTGCTGACTGCTACATGTAGAGATTTTGGATCTGGTGAAGCTGCTTCAGATTTTGCGTTATGTCGGATGTTTAGCTACCCAGCACTTGGTCACATCATGGATGTGAGATTTGATCCGATAGCACATTTAGGATTCAGATGTGTGTTTGATTATCAGGTATTGGCTTCTGACTTTGTTCTTAGCAGATATGTCATGTTTGACTCTCGATAGGTGGAGAGTGGTGATCAGATATTTAGGACATCGCAGCGGGTGGAGAGTGATGCTACTCCACGTTGGGTGGAGACTCCAGATCATACTGCATCATTTGGGATTCCATCTGATGTGACACAGATTGGGAATCATGTTGTTTTGGACGCAGATGATAGGTTGATTGATTCGAGTGCAGCTGATAGATGTAGTCTAGACATGGCTGTTGGTTCATCTCAGGTGGAGGTATTTGGATTGTTTCAGCTTAGGGCCATTGGAGGTGCTATCAGCCGCAGACTTGATCGTGATGTTGGAGAAGGGTTGCAAACTCTTTTATTGGATTGAGGTCGTTAGCGGCCACTTGAGTGAACTACGTAAGGCTTGATTTCTTGGGCAAGAGGATACGTAGGCAGTCTTTACGATGCAGCCGGTTTGGATTAGTTGATTTTGATGGGGGGTGAGATTGTTTGGACTCTCGTTCGGGTTCTCGACTTGTTATGGATTGAGTCCGTTGTCGTGAATTAACTTCACGGTGTACTGGACACAACAAGTGGGATATTTGGTTGCTTTGGTGTCAGCTTAGTTTTGGGAAAACTTTGCCGAGGTGGAGAATTGTGGACGTGAGGCGTGTGGGCCAGCAGCAAGATGCGTGAATGGCTTCATGTGGG